GACGAGACATAGTTGGTGACTCATGATGACTGTGTCATAGCTTTATATGTAGGGGAGATCGAGGAGAGTTGTAACACAGGAGAGTAGTGACATTGTCGAATTTTGGAAACCTATTCGGCCGTTTGGTGTAGTGGTTCATAACGCACTTCTATGCCGAGAGATCGCGGGTTCGATTCCCGCACAGTACAAACATTTGTGTGGATGAACACATATTTTGTTTGTATAGGCAGGGTGTTTTCTATCTATGTATAATATTTATGTATGTACCTATTTAAAAAAAAAGTATTCAAGTATGTTTTATCCGTTGTCTTTGTCTAGTACCCATAGTACAAGCTTTGCTTAGTTTGGGTCTAGAGGCACAGTGTCAAATGTTCAAGGATATTTATTAATTTCAGTGAGCTCGCAACAGCGCGTATTTGTTAGCTCGAGACTTTAACTAAAAAACGCGCACTTTTCGATCTCGCTAGAAGTTAATAAGTTCCAAAAAATCAACAATATCACTACTCTCCTCTGTTAAGGAAATGGTATGGAAAGGCAGCCAAATCAAAGCTTGCTCTTTATCCATTTCAACTAGAGCTGAAGGCATAAATAAAATGAACAAAATTAGGTAGTTCCTAGTTCCTACACTATTTAAGCGTCCACCCACAAGGTGGACTGACGACATCATAAAGGTAGCAGGAAAGCGCTGGACGCAGGCCGCTACCAACCGGGCAACGTGGAACATTGGGGGACGCCTATGTTCAGCAGTGGACGTCCTATGGCTGAGATGATGATGATGATGACATCATTTAAGGCTGTCAACCATCTTTCTTTAACTATAACAAACGTCAAACGTCTGTCAAACTCCATACAAAAACACCTGTTACGGTTAAAGTAAGATGGTACAACTCAGCCTTAATAACTAACTGGTAAGCCTTCCTCTGCTGGAAAAAGGCCTCCCCCAAGGTTTTCCACAAGGCCTTTGTCCAGCAGTGGACGTCATTTGGCTGAAACGAACGAACGAACGAAGCCTTCCTCACCTTCCTTACCTAACCATATGCTACGCTGTAACAAGGAGAAGTGGTGTAAACGGGTGACAGTGTGGTACCCAAGAGATGGCGCCAGAAACCGAGGTCGCAAGGCTTTAAGATGGGAGGATGAATAGAGGTTGACCGCAGAACCTCTTTGGATGAGAGGTCTTTCACAAAATGTCTAAAATTTCCACACCGAAATTTTAGACATTTTGTGAAAGTTTTTTTAAGTGAAGTATTTGTTTATATCAGTGTTAATCCTAATTTCAGAAAGTGTTAAATGTATAATGTACATAATTTTGGAAATAAAAGGCTTATTATTATTATTTTATAAGCCTTCCTTTAAAGTTAATACTTATTGATGAAATACCTGCTGCAAGTCTGAGGTAGAGACCACACCAAGCAAGACCAAGTTTGCACCTCGCGCGTGTCAATCTACCCCCAACCTCGCAAACTACTTACTACTTAATTCAACAACTTCAACTAAGTTTGCATCGCTACGTGTGGCTTACGCTTAATACTTTATAATAGGATGTTCCCTGGGTAAAAAAGCAAGAGTTTGAATTAGTCCGTCGGTTAACTTATCAAAAAATACTCGACACGTATTTTTCACTTTTTCAAAGTAATGAAAATTGAAAGAGATAAAGCGCGCCAAAGTTCGTAAGAAAAGGCCCGTGACGTCAAGGCGTGCGTAAAAATGTAGCACTTACTGACGTCATGCGGAAGTTTAACGCATCATAACTTCGTTATCACTTGTTTGATTGACAAATAAAAATATACGTGTCCCATATTTTTTGATAATGTAATTGACTAAAACTGAGTTTTAGGAAACTAGCCTATTACTTCATACTTCTATTTTCTATGATGAGCCGCCATCTTGAAATAGCAAAATTTTACTGGAACGCTAAAAATACGAAACACTCAGTTACTCTTTAAACAATCATAAAACGTGCCCTCGAAATGAAGTTTATTAATTTTAGATTTTTACGATTTTATAAAACGTTTATAGCTTATCTGTGGGTATAAATGGGGCACAAAACACGGTTATGAAAATAATTTGAAATGTACCGGGTTCTTACTCAATACTACCTACTTGAAATAACAGCAAATGCTTCTTCTTATTTGATACTAGCGGCCGCCCGCGACTTCGTTTTTATAGCTTGACAATAAATAATTTTTTGGAGTTCCAAAGGTTTTTGATAGTCAGTTTGACTACAAAGTTTAAAAAAACCTGCGAAGTAGAAATTAATTAGGTAAATATTTTAATAGAACATTAAGTTACTTGTTTTTGCTAGTCTAGACCCCGAAATTGACTTTGCTGACATTTAAAAAACCTTTTTAAAATTAGGTAATTTTAATAAGCCTATAAAGGGTTGATTTAAATTATATGCCAGTAGCAATAGTGATAGCCTTTTGTAAATTATGTTAGTTTAAAGTAATTTATTGTTGTTACAGTTAATTTTAAAAGGCACGAAAAAGATACTGAAACTTTAGAAAAACATTATAAAGGTACAATAAGTTAGTACCTACTAACGTATAGTCCTTTCGTAGTATTCTTCCGAAAACCAAATTAAAAACATTATTATTTTGTTTTCCCTGGGTCTCAAACTACATCTCTACAATTTCATCTAAATCCGTTTAAAATATTCGCGTGAAAGAATAAGAAACACACCTTAGCAGGATTATAATATTAGTAGGATACATAGCTGGGCACCGTTAATCAAATAGTTAACTTCGTTAATCGTTAAACCGTTAATAAAAAAATTAACTTCGTTAAACATTAAAACGTTACATTTAGCAAGATTTAACGCAAGTTAACGTTAATCGTTAATCCGTTAACACACGAAAAAAAAAATTGTATGCAAGGTTCAAATCATTTCGAAAGCTTGTATCGCGCACGGAATTTATTCCTATTTGGGCAATGATTAGAAGTTGTTTCGATATCAGAGACAATCTCAGAGCCTTGGTTCCATTACAATACAATTTAGCACCAAAATGCTCGAAAAGACAAATCCAACAAACCCAAACTGGATAACTTTCCATCGTTTCGTTTGGGAATTCCTATGGCCACCTCCTGACTCCATCATCAGGACCCTGGACATCATCTAGTACTAAAGTGCTCGAAAAGACAAATCCCACGAGCCCAAATTCGATGCGATGCCGCCGTTTCATTTAGGAGTTCTTATGGCCACCTCCTGACTCCATCATCAGACCAGCTTAATGGTACCATAACATTGCATTTTCATCGTACTTACATAAGTATACCAAATTTCAGCTCAATCGGTTGAGAACTGGTCTTAAATTCAGTTGCAAGATTTGTCCCACACATGCTAACAAGTGATGTCAATATAAAGCTTGTAAATAAATAAAAAAACATCATTTTTTATATCGTTTGTTTTGGGTTCTGGAAGTTCTGGAAGTCAGAACGCGTTTATCTAGTGTTATTCAGCGTGCCTGCTGTATCTTTTTGGTAAATAGTAAGTACTGGATTAACGATTAACGGACTTAGGATAATTTAACGGAAGTTAACGAGTCCGTTAACATTTTTTATGGTTAACTTAAAAGTTAATCCGTTAATAGAAATGTTAACTTCGTTAATTAACGATTAACGGATTAACGAGTTAATGCCCAGCTATGGTAGGATAGGTATACGTATAAAAGATATAAGGTTACGACAGGTAAGTTAAGAAATCGGGTTGCATAATATGACAAGAATAAGCTCACAAAAATTCCAAAAGCTCTTCCCCATTTTCGTCCGTTTACTTAAATTCAAAGGGCTGTTTATGTAATAACAAGGGAAAAGGCGGGAAGTTGAAAAAACTCACATCATTAAAAGTTATAAAACAGTTCGGAATACACAATAATGTAAACACTTACCTTTCCGAGTTTCCCGTTCTTTATTAATGTGTGTTGTTTTATTTGTGTACAACTTTTGGCTGTGACTCCGATCGAGTAATTGGTGTTACTTAAATGATTTATTTGAACACGTGTATAATATTGATTTCGTAATTCGTAAAGCTGAGTCTTCTACGACTTGGCCCACTTTTAGCTTGGTCCACGGGCCAAGTAGCTGGCTTGAATAATTTAAGCAACTGTGCATTATATGTGGCTTATTTAGAAGAAGAAGCGCAAGAAACACCTCACTCTTTATCCGCTTCTTTTTCAGAGGTTTCCAATGTCTATCTTCTACTATATAAAAATAAGTCGGGTTTTCCTCCCTGACGCTATAACTCCAGAACGCACGAACCGATTTCCACGGTTTTGCATTCGTTGGAAAGGTCTCGGGCTCCGTGAGGTTTGTAGCAAAGAAAATTCGGGAAAAGGGGGTAAAACGGGATCCACGCGTACGAAGTCGCGGGCGGCCGCTAGTTATTTATAGAGTAGAGTAGGACCATCTCCATTCTTCCCGTAGATATCGTAAGAGACGACTAAGTGAAAAGTATGCTGACATCAGGCCTCCCCAACTCATCTGGCCAGTGTGGGGAGTGGAGGCCAAATCCTCCATTTGCCTCTGGTAAATCAGAGTGCTCCTGCAGTGGAGACAGAATGACCTGATGATGATGTTAACTTAATATTCTGCCACAGCCACGAATCCAGGACTTCTTTTTCGTCTTTTATTTTTGGCTTTGGGAACCACTATTTCGCGTGAGCGAATCCAGGACATCTCAGCCAAATCAAGCCTTTGAAAGATAGTTTATTCTCCAAGACACGACTGACAGTGTATCTCTAGGACATCATAAGTCTTTGAGGGACAGTTTGTTCTCCAAAACACGACTGATATAGATCCGAGCAATCCGAGCGTCATTATTGTAGTGTGTGTGTGTGATAACAGCGTTGCAATTGGATAATTATCCACACGCACACTACAATAATGACGCTCGGATTGCTCGGATCAAACTCCCCGCACCCCGCGCTTCCCTCGACCAAAAAGTGGTGGGGCGCGTCTTCGTGGATGAAACGATCTATAGTCTATCTTCTCGTTGGTTCCAGGTGCACCATGCCCCGAGTGATCAAGTGCCTCATCTACATTGGAGTGGCTGCGTTCTTGCACCAGCTGCCTCGGTTCGTGGACCGGCAGTACGTCCCTCACGTCACAGTGTGGCGTGGACAGTTCGAGGAGGTCTGCAGAGTAAGTAGCTATCTTGAATAGACCTCCAGCTTATTCACATACTAACCTTAAAAAGTGAAGAGAAACCATCAAAGCATGAAGTCTTGAGCAGCCCAAAATCCAACACCAGAAATGTCACCACAATCAGAAGGTACACTCTTGCTGCCCTAGAATCTGCTTATCTTTCCGTTGCAAGAATGGTGCTGATCTGGTTGCAGTAGTGTCTTCTATCCATGTATGGTCTTGCAGCAGTCTTAAGGGAATCTTGTTCTGACAAGAGGACATCCAACTGTATATGACTAGGTAGTAGTACAGTACTTAGGTCTGAGCCCTCGTATCATGCATCTACATATATCGGAGTGGTGGTCCTGCACCAGCTGCCTCGGTTCGTTGACCGGCAGTACGTTCCTTACGTCACGAGGAGGTCTGCAGAGTAAGTTACCTTTGATACCTTTAGAAAGTTTAGAGTCTAGACATGATCCTAGTCTTTAAGTCTAGGTAAAAGAAAAAGTGGCAGCGCCAGTTCAGTTCAACAGTTCGAGTAAGTCTGCAGATTAAGTAGCTGCCTTATACCAAATATATTTTGAATAGATGAGCCTTCAAAAGTCTACAGAAAAAGTACCTACCTAACTGCCTTTAAGACAAAAGAGATTTTGAATAGACCAGCCTTCGAAAGTATCGAAGCAGAAAGTCTTTAGCTTCTTAAAATCCAACACCATAACTACCCCCACATCCAGAAGGCACACCCTCGCTGCCTTAGAATCTGTTTCTCCATCAGTTTCATAAATGGCAGAACCATTCTTGACTTAAGTAGCTGCCTTTGATTCTTTAGGGTTCTTTTCCAGGACAAAAGTGGCTAGGTAGGAAACGTTTAAAATTTTATAATATGTCCTAGTTGTCAAAATCGAACAGTGAAACGTCTCTTGTTCAAAAAAATCCAGCACCAGAACTATCCCCATAGCCAGAAGAAACTTGATTAGACCTGTCCTAAACAAATATCTCTTCTGCCTCCGCCTCTCCGGTTCTAATAAAACGAAATTAAAAACTCAGATTCCTGATTCGGTTCCGATATAAAAACTTCTATGACATCCGTAATAGAAAATTATTTACAGTGTACTTGATTCTAGTTTTGTAAAATTAAAGCACATTCGTATAATATCATTCGCCGTGTTACACAAAAAAAACCAAAATCCTTTTTCGCCTTGCGAAGACAACTCGACTTCACAATGCAAAACACGTTCGCCAGGCCAGACAAGCGAAAAAAAGAAACATTTCAACTCCCTAGTTTTATTTTAAAAGTTCTTAACCGTGAACATGAGACTAGGGCACTGTTGAACGAAGTAAACCGTGCTAGTTCCTTAGATCGGTGTTCAGGGACTTTGAGGAATGGGACTTAGCAAGTTCTTACTGCCTGAGCACAGTTTGTGCGATATAACTTAACTGCTATTCCCGTTAGTTGTAAACCACTGTTTACTTGAGTATTCGTAGCCATAAAGATTGACTGTATCATCTAAGGAACTTCTCATTACCCTATAAGAAAAACCGGTGTATACTTACCAGTAGATATGTATTACGTAAAAATAACAATGTTGATCTCGAAGCGCTGGTAGGGCTAAAAGTACCAGCTTGAGAATGGTTTTTTTTTCTTGAAATATTTTGACTATTTAATAGTAAGCACTATTTAAAAGTCCATACGAATATTCTGATAAATTAGGGGAGAGTCGTGCTCCTACACTGAAAATGAGATTGATGATGAATTCACAAATTACCAAGGTCTTGATCCGTAGTTAAAATAACAAAATGACAATTGGATCAGCCAAAAGCTTTTTTAAAACGTNTAAAACGTAAAACGATTGTTATTTATTCTGTGACGATGGTTAGCTCTTAGTACAAACTTAATCATGTTAACAATTTGACAATTGTACGAGTATACTTACTACTATAACACCTAATCTTTTCAGAAATATGAGTCTAATTTGATTTAATTACTTAACCTCCGTCATCTACGAAACTACATAGCGCCATTACAGTTAATGTTCTATTATGAAAGCCAAGTCATACTCGTATCTTATCATCAGCCGTCGGCTCGACACTGACTAAACCAATTACTATGAGTAATGTCTGATAAATTACTTATTGCGTGTGTATTATACGAGTATTCGTCTAGGCCAGGGTCTCTCAAACTTTCGGCTCCACGAACCCCTGTTAAAATTTTCGAGGTGACAGCGAACCCCAGCCCCTTATCTACACAGCTATCGAAAAAAAATTGCCAAAAAAATATTTTTATTATTAATATATTATATTAATATGAAATGAAAAAAGCTGTGTTTTTGTCACAAATGGGGTCAATTTTAGGAGTCATTTTGGACAATTTTAAGTCTGGCACCATTACGTAATTTTTTTGCGAAGGTAGGGGGCTACCGTTGAATGGCGAACCCATGGGGGTTCGCGTACCCCACTTTGAGAAACCCTGGTCTAGGCTATGGAGTCAAATGCTATTAGGTTACTCATGAAATTGCCCAATTTTTCTTATCTAGATCCGTAAGTGCTAATAAATAAATGCGAAAGTAACTCTGCCTATCTGTCTACCTTTCTAACTTTTGACGCTTATACCACTTAATTTAGCACCTATCTATAACATCGGTCGCTTATAAAATCGAATTATTTAATTTTAGAAGGAAAGAAAAAAAAATTTTTCATGATGAACATCACTTAGAGAAGGTACACGGAAAAAAGACAGAAATAGCACATAAATATTACAAGGAAATGAAAAGTGAACAGCAGTGCTATCCTGTCGCAACAGCGATGCCCATCGCAATGGGACCACACTCAGCATATGCCAGGCCCCGACGCTGGTTTTCAGTGTGCCCAAAATTCTAATAGGTTCATAATTAAATACAAGTAGTTAAATAAAACAAACAAAAATTCGTCAAATTACTACTCAAAGACAAACTAGTTAGGTATCAAATAAAAATAAGTCAAAGACTGCAAGGATATAATGTTATACCGTAACACAGCCGTTCCCGAATGGTGGTCCGCAGAACCCTGGGGTTCCGTGGAAAGGCCGCAAGGGTTCCGTAAAAAATATTATCCCACGTTTCGTGACCGACGTTGTTCGCTCGCACCGACTTGTTTACGCACAAGGGAGGGGCAGGGCGTGCGGGCGGAGTAGTACGGGGGTTCCGCTAGGAAAAGTATAATCAATTAGGGTTCCTTGGCAAAGAAAAATTGGGAAACCCTGCCGTAGCAACACAATACTTTCGTTGATGCCCCGAAGAAAATAAAAAGAAACGAATTCCCGAGACTGGGTGTAATATGACAAATATTTAGATCTGAGACAAAAAAAATCAACCACAATACACTGCTCGAGACTCCAGTCGACATTGGTTATGAATAAATGAATGATATGGTGGATGGAATTACATTACCCTGTCTCATGTTGTGAAAGAAAAAGGAAATTAAATTATCTATAAAGGATTACAATAGTCATTGTTATTTAATCTATTAGTTAGATCCTCCTTGGTTGAGGATTCCGGGTGAAGCTCGCTTCCGTCTTCAGCCTGATCATCACTTACCATCAGGTGAGATACAGGCCAAGAGCTTCCTCGTTGTGGATAAAAAAACTAATGTTACTCGTTTAAAGAGGAAAGATTTTTTTGTATGTTTGTAACGAATAAACGCAAAAGCTACTACCGATTTGAAAAATTCTTTCACCATTAGAATTCTAATTTTTTTCTGATGAACATAGGCATTTTTACAGTGTCTTCTACATGTACGAAGCCAGGGCGGGTCGCTAGTAAGGAATTATTTGTGATTCTAGTTCCCAACTAGGGCTTGAATACCGGAATTCCGGAATTTCGTAACTCCGGAATTTCGGATACATTTTTTCCGATATTTCAATTCCGGAACTGAAGCCAATATCGTATTCCGATATTGAAATTTTTCATAAATTATTTTAAGTTTTCAAAACGTTTAAGTCCTTGAGATATGTATTCGCAACTTTATTAGTAATAATATTAAAGAGGCAATAGGGTGAAATTCGCACTCACAGCTTTCTGCATAACCCTGGGGTCGACTGGCTGAGAATGCTCAAATAGCATTAAGTCCACCTTTTGTACTATTTTATTGTGCAATAAAGTTTTATAATAATAATAATAAATCAAAGCTCCAAAATGTTCGCTAGAGACAACTCTAATGGGCGAAGCCAGCTGAAGAGAGCGGATGATAGGGTAAAACCTGTTAATAGCTCAGCCACAGGACAGTTCCAACAGCTAAGCTAACTCGACACTATACCGAAGATTAGCCGGACATCAGCCCTGACGTGATTAGGATGGCTCTCAAACAGCTAAAGAACAACAAGGCACCGGGTGATGACGGAATAACCTCGGAGCTTCTGAACGCGGCAGGTGATAAGCCGATACTGAAAGTCCTTCATAGACTGTAACTCCGTCTTACTCCAGGGAATAATGCCAGAGGCTTGGAACAAATGCTTGGTGGTGTTTTTCTTTAAGAAAGGGGTAAAAGCCTTATTAAAGAATTACAGACCCATCTGGGTTCTGACTCTGAGTCATGTCTACAAGCTGTTTTTGAGAGCCATCACGAATAGTCTCGCGCGTAGGTTCGATGACTTATAGTCTCTCGAGGAAGTCAGTTATCGAAACGTTTACACTACCATATACCGCATCTTTACGCTACGGCAGGTTATACAGAAGACCGAAGAGTCTAACTTTCCTATATGCTTGGCGTTCTTAGACTATGAGAAGGTCTTTGAGCCTGGCTGAGCACAAACGCGATTCCTCTGCGATTCCTCAGCAGCGAACTGTGAGGCAGGGAGATGTAATAATACGTCGAATTCAACTCGGCTGGGCAACGTTCGGGAAACTACATTACATCTTTTCGACCAAAACACTTCAGTGCCTAAAGACGAAAGTCTACAATCAGTGTNATAAAAATATATGTGTCCAATATTTTTTGATATTAAACATGACGGACTAAAAAAATTTTTTTAGGAAACTAGCTAA